TTGAATGTAGTGAGTAAATGTATCAGTTGAATGTAGTGAGTAAATCGTTTAGTTGAATGTTTTAGTAACTTAATATACCGGTAATTCAAATTCATGTAATTTATTCCACAGATCCTGGAACAAAAACAATTTCTTGTGAACAATCTGGATATCAGGAAGGTTTAGGCACTGGTATTGGAATTGGTATTGAAATATCTGCTATTATTGTTTTTCTAGTTTTACTGACAATATTTATATATAGAAAATATCATCCAGGTATTGGTTAGAAATATTTTGGGGATCTTTAAAAAAGGAACCATATGAAATTTTGTTTTGAGGATTATTCTATCAAAACATTAAAGAGATATAGTCAATTTTACTTACCCTTATATCTTTTCAGAATTACAATCTGACTTAACCTTCTCCTACATTCTCTCAGAATTGTAGCATTTGAAAACCATTTATATTCTCGAGTGCAATTATTACAGATATCAGGGCTTTATACTTCACGAAAGCGGCAAAACGTCAAATTAAAAAGTCAGTCAAGTATCGTATTTCAATTCTGAAAAGTTTGTCAGTTGCTGTAATAAACTCGTAAACTTCTTTAAATATAAAATTATTCTAAAAATGTATTATTATTTTATTTTGTAGCCAATAAGAAACTACCAGAAGAAAGGTGAGTTATATTTTCTTTCCTGATCTGGAACATCTATTCCATTAAACCTACTTTAGGCGAAATAAACATTTTCAATCTGTAAAGCTATGGTGATGATGATGTTCTTGTCGAAATTGAAGTCATTTTATAGCAACGATCATTATTAAGTCTTTTCACACAAAAAATGTCAGTCGCAGACTGGTTTGATTGAGTACAGAAGTTTAAATTCTTATATCAAAATGTTGTTTTGAGAAGTTGTAGTCAAAACTCATAAAAACATATTTGCCCATTTTACTCATGACATATTCTTACTTTCAGTTATGCAACGTTTTCTAATAGAAATCCTGAAGGTAAATTATCACATATTATCATGAATTTATCACTATTTACACATTCAGTATGACTATCAATACTATACCCATAACGGTCCATCGTTCAATTTCTGATAGTGTTCTTCAACTTTACGGCGGAAACTGCCGAGAGTCGCCGAATGTCAAAGCAAAAAGGTTGTAATTTTTATTCTAACTTATCAGTTACTATGCACGCTTTTCTTTCCTACAGAAAGAACATATGAAGATTTAAATACTCGTCCTGAAGTTAATGATAACAATCAACATAATTCTGGAGATGTAAAAGAATATGAAAATATGAGAAGAAATTAAATATAACAGGCTGTAACATCTGTTCAGAAATCAACCGTTCTATACACATTCCAAAATTCCGTCTGAGAGCAATGAAAAGGACGTTAAATAAAGGGCAAGTTCACTTTGGGATTCGTTACCCAAATCTCTTAAATTGTCTTCTGAATTATGTCGTTCTAAAGGTTGACTAAAGAAGTAAACTGGTATCTAGTTCAAATTAAAATTGTTGAAAAAAGTCATTTTTTATTTTATTTTATTTTTACATCATACTTTAATTCATACTTGTACCACTTTGATAATTTATTCACCATATTCATGACTTTTTTTATTGTATCATTATATAATATATATATATAGGCCCAAACTTTTTCTCGGTCCTTTGATCTTTAGAGTGGGTTATTATCCGATAAACCTACACTTTTCGTGAATTATATGCCGCTGAGTAACTGAAAAGTCTAGCTTTGCCCAAAAATATGGCAGGATACAATAAAAACAACAGTTAATAAACAGTTCATAATCTTTATTAAAATTTACAAAATTTTTTGCCAGATGATCCTCGACTTCGCCTCGGAGCCTCACTCGAAAAGGAGTAGGTGTAGCATCCCATACACCTCGAAAACGATGCATATAACTACTACATATGTTAATTGAAGTTAGATAGTGGATGTGATATAAATGGATTTCTATCGTCTGCTGTTATCTTTCAAGGTCCTTTTAGATAGTATTTTTCATATTAAGATTCATTTTATTTCGATTTTTCATTTTAAGATTCAAATTTTGCAACATTATTTACTCTCTCATGTAATTATATTTTTTTCATATATCATCTTAATGTTTCTATCTGTATATATATTATTTGTTCGCAAATCACTAGGCCACCTAGGCCTAGGGTAAGAGAGTATTAACCCTAGGGTTAAGGTTGGCGTTTACCCTAGTTTTGAAAAATCAATATGGGTTAGCCGAGGAAAGGGTTAAAGTTTGTTCCAAGATATGGTTGCTGCATATTAAATGAAAAATATCTTCTCAATACAAAATGGTCCAGAAATAAAGAATAACACAGGGGTTTGAAGTATAAACACAAACTGTATTTTGAGGTAGTGTAAGTAGTTATGGACACACTAAGTCTGTAAGTCTGCCTTTTGTAGTATCTATTTATTCTACCCCAAAATAAAGTAGACTGGTCGTTAATGGTTCAAATTATACCCCGACGTGCAAAATTATCTACATGATAATAAAGATTAAACCACATTCAATTGTTTCTTTATAATGCGAGACAACTTTATTTATTATTTGAGTGAGGTCTGCCAATCAAAATAAACAGAACAAATCAGAAATAAGAATTGTAGTGGCACAAAAAAAATTCCATAGTCCATTAATGCGTTGTTGGTTTTATCAGGTTAAACGCACATTGTGAGCTTTCTATCTAATCGAAGGTCGAACGGAAGATAACAATCTACGTGCTGATGGTGGGCTCTGTTCAACCGCTTAATGGGATGGTGGCACCGGAAGGTGATCTTTCGGGCTTTTTGTGTTGTTAAACCTTTGATGTAGCCAGGCTATAAGCACCTTAGGGGCACCAGAGAAGTACACGCAAAACCT